TTCTCAAACATGTATGGCTGAAATACAGCAAAAAATCTGATGACGTGACACAGAGTAACCCATTTGTCTTCACATTCTGAAAGAAGCAACGCTTTAGAGTCATGTTTAGGCACATTCAGGTGGAGACAGCAAGCCAGACTCTGTGGATAAGGTAACGCAATCTGCCTCATTAAGGTATGTTGTAATACTGATGTAAGAGTCAGCATCTGTTTTCTATATACATGTTCTGTTTCCGGATCTGTGAAGACAAGGTCCTGCAGCAAGCCTTCCCAGATGTGTGGAGGCTGTTTAATGGCCCATGAGTGGGTTTGTTTGCTTTATGTAAGAGAACGAACAGCTGCATATAGTTACACATATGGATGCAGTATAGTTAGTTTATGGTACGAAGGAGGGCTGGAGCTCATTTATTGTGCAAACGTGCAAACAGGGTTGATGGGTGGAGCCTCAGTAGTGTTGAAATGTGTCTGTTTGCAGATCAAACACTGAATTCCAGGCCTCTGTGGAAATTTACTGTCCTCAAACTGAGATGCACTTGATTTAGCTGCATTTCGGTGGATGATACAGCAAGAAACTTTGCAATTATGTTTTTAAAATTAGGAAGAAGTAATCCATTCTCAGCTAATGGTGCATTACTGACTTGTTACTTTGAGTCTTATTTTTAAATGTTTGAGATGTGATATTTGTAGTTGAAGTAGAAATATTACCCTCTTTGTAATGCAGCAATGATGACAAATAATGTTGCTTTATTAAAGATATACAGCTCAAAGGGTATCACTGGGTTTTCCATGTATAATTTTGTAGGGTTTCAACCATTAATTTTAAATTATTCACATAGTTTGATACAATATATGAAAGGTTTTTCACCTTCATATTTAAAATAGTCAAGGAAGTTTGTATTATCTCTAGTATTGTATGGTCCATGTGCACACTGAGCAATTTATGATGTAAATGTCTTCATCCATGTGAAGAAAAGCAGAAAGTATAGTGGAATCACCTGCAAAATGTACACCTATGATAGGGGTCTGTAACTTACACCTAAATTAGTCAGGTAAATTCATATAACATGTATAAACTTGTGGGTCTTAACATTTAAACTTGTAAAGTAAATGTGTTTCTTTTGTTGTTTTTCCTCTCGTGTGTCTCCATGTCTGTTCTTTTAAATACACTGTCAAGATAACAGGATTTGCCGAAGTGCATTAAAAGCTTCTTCTTCTTTTTTTCTTTTTTTCTTTGCTTCATTTGCAGAATATTTCCTCACTCTTTGACAACTTTTAACAATGTTGTCACAGTTTCAGTTCTACAAATGTAGTTCTGCAGACCACTTCACATTTAAGCCTCGGACACAACCGGCCGTATGAGCTCGTACAGCCCGTAAGCACATAGGGAGGATCTCTGACATGTCGAAAAGATTCTATGAACTCTCTGCGAACAGCAACGCAGCAAATGTAATCATAAGGGCATTTTATGAGATATTTCACAAATCTGCCAACTGAATCGTTACCAAACAATTTCTTCACCAATATGTTTGTAAAGGTGTGTAATAACATGTTTTAAAATGTTGAAGTTCTACTCCTGTGGAAAACCCTGAAAAAACCTGCTCAAGATTGATTTCTTTAAAATCAGGCCTTAAGTATCTTATGAGGGGTCATATCAGGGCAGTTCTCATGATTCTGAGTTGATTGTTAGCATTTATATTTCACCATGGACACTCCACTGTTGAAAAAGGTCACACTCACTTTACATTTACTTTCAAAGTAGCTTTTATATCACATACTTATATAACACTCTGAGTTATTTCTCATTCACAGTGTCAGAAGCTTCAAGAGTCATTGTCTATGTCTTCTTCAGACTCAACAACATCATGACTGCAGTTTCTGTATATAATGCCTTTACAGACTCCACAGGCTGAGATGCACGTGATCCTGTTCTTCTTGCAGCTGCACCGCCGGTTGCTGCAATCTCCATGACAATTACAGCTCATGAGCTTCAGTAGCTCCTCAGGAACCATGGGGTCTAGTGTTGGAACTGGCTCATACCCATGCACACCTAATGTCCATCTATATTCACTGGGCTTCAGAGACATGCTCTGTAGAAGGATCCAGTCCTGGTCTGCAGGTAGGCACGGAGTGGATCAGCTGCACCCTCTGTTAGAGGTAGAATGTCTGGTTTGATCACTCCTGCCGCCGCCTTCCTTGAGAACATGATGTACCAAAAACACTTATTATTATAATTATCCATCCAGTTTCTATACACCGCTTAATCCTCATTAGGGTCGCGGGGGGGCTGGAGTCTATCCCAGCCGACCTAGGGCGAAGGCAGGGGACACCCTGGACAGGTCACCAGTCCATCGCAGGGCCACACTTAGAGACAGACAACCAAGCACACTCACATTNGAGTTGGATCGGACCTTTCTCATTTCCGCCTTTGGTACTGGGTTTACTGGGGATGGACTGCTCTCTGCTGGTGGATTAATGAGCTTCCATGTCTGGGATGTACGGTCGTCCTCAAATGTATTCATATCCTTCCATTAAAGAAAAGGCAAAATTCACAATAATCACTGAAATAACTAGAAACTGAAAAAGTACTAATAAATAAAAATTTGCTAAACTATATTTTAATGATAGAAGACATTGCTTTTGAATTGTGGTTGAAAAGAATAACCAAAAAAAAAAAAAACTGTCCTGGACAAATAAGAGCACTTTGCTGATGAGCAGTGGCCAAAATCAAAATAGCTGTCAACAGGTGCAGAAGTCTGATTGAGAGTTACAGAAAACACTTAATTGCAGTGATTGGCTCAAAGGGTTGTTCAACAAAATATTAGTTTACGGGTCCCATCATACTTGTTTGTTTTTTGTTGTTTTTTAAAAAATATTTCTGTTGAACCACAATTCAAAAGCAATGTCATGATTTTCATTAATGTTTTATTTAATATTATTTTTGTCAATTTCAACTTATTTCAATGACGGCAGTTTCTTTCCTTATTAAAGGGAGGGTATGAATACATTTGAGGATGACTGTATAATCTAACCTTTGTTTCCCACTGGTTGTCGGACAAGAAGCAGGTGGCGCCAAAGGAGCAGTTTACAATTTTTGCCAGAGCTGAGCATTTGCTGCAGTGAACCAATGACAGTTTGAAAAACACAGATTCAAACTTCTCTGGTTTTACATGGAACAAACCAATGCAGTTTGACTTGCTTGGAGGACATTTCTGTATCAATGTTCTCAAACATCCATCCATCCATTATCTATACACCGCTTAATCCTCACTAGGGTCGCGGGGGCTGGAGTCTATCCCAGCCAACTTAGGGCGAAGGGACACCCTGGACAGGTCACCAGTCTATCACAGGGCTACACTTAGAGACAGACAACCAAGCACACTCACATTCACACCTATGGACAATTTAGAA